TATTGATATTAAAGTTAATAGCATTACTATTATTATTTGAGAGAGAGAGAGAGAGATTGCGCCACTGTGATTTTTGTGCGAAAGCTCCATTGCACGACACAAGGGAAGTGCAAACAGCCAAGCTGCACTGCAGCAACAGGAGCAGCAGCAGCATAACCTGGGTCCAATGCCAACATGAAGTTCGAAGGCACTGCTGGCCCGAACAAAAATGACAAGCACCTGAGGCGGCTGACTGAAAGAAAGGCGCGGCGTGGGGCCTTCATGAGGCTGCTGGCGTCCAGTGCTGTTCTATCTATCTTGCCTTTCAAGTTGCTGGTCCGGGCATGCTTTCCTTTCTGCTGGTGCCCATGCATGCCCAGAAATGGAAGCACACCTGAACTGGCACCAGTGGCGCATCTGTAAAGAGTTGAACCACAAAATTTGTTGGTTCGAGGATAAGTTGTAAACATCGAATTTCCCCTATGCCCGAATCCAAACATGCTGGCTCAAGCGGCTACACAGCTCACACTGGCATGTGTCATCCATCTTTCCCTGTGCGCTTTCAGATTGCATTGGAGAAAGCTGATTTGAGCCAACAAACACCACCAAATCAACACTGGGGGTTGGCTCCGCATTGCTGCATGTCCATCCAGATTCTATGAATACAAGCACCTCTAACCCATTCGCTCGTTTGCAAGCTTGTTGGGTCTCCATCCCTTCACCTCAACAATAAAAATCTCCAGGCTCCAGCAAAAGTCATGTCACACGCTGTTTGGCATTGCGTGAGTTCTGGCCAACGAACTTTCTGCAAGCGCTATGCCTGTGCTTTGCATCAACACCTTTGCATTGATTGTCCTCGGGAAAACTCACATCCAGTAATCTGAATCTGCCAAATGATACTCATTCCTGGGCTTTTGTGTGTGTGAGAAGACAGGGTAAGCGCTGCATGAGATTTGCCGCAAGCAGGCAAATGTTCATGGTCATAGGCTGTCCATCAAGCGCATATTTCCAATTCACCAGGATGTAAAACAAGCAAGCGCTTAACTCACAATAACCATGTCGAGACACACCGAAGCAGCGCATTCGGCTTTTCCACGTTGCAACCCTTTTGGGTTTATGGAGTCTGTCTCGAATCGGCCGCATGACCGCATGACCGTATGGCCGTGGCACAGGTTTCCTGGAGCGGCAAAACTGGCCAGCTTGGACTGCAAGGACTATCTGCGGTGCGAATAAAGCCGACGGTCGCAGTGAGCTCCTTGGCATCCGCGAGGCAAAAATATTTGCAGGCTCAATTCAAATTGTGCTTTGGGTTGGACATGCAAGCGGGAGCTTTGTCACTCTCCCCTTGCGCGTGCGTCCACCCAAGAGCATACGTGTACAGTGAAACCAATAAATGGCATGCAAATCATGCAGCAACCAGCAAAAGTTGGCAGGTCTAACAGCTGTTCAAATTCCAACAACAAGAGCAGCTTCGTTGAACGTAATGAATTGATAGCCTACATCACACCTGCCTTTGCTGAATTGAACGGTGTTCGTCAGAGCGAACATTTTGAACGGCAACTAGCACCATCTGGTACCGTCGCAAGATGCAGCAAAATTGCTCACAAAAGGCTGACAAATCTGAAAATGCCCCGGCTGTGATGCTGCTCAGCTCACTTGCCAGCTTCTGTGAGGCACCAATCCTTCTGTCGCTTGTCGGAGGAAGGATTGACTCTGGAGCAATCAAGGTTAAGCTGACCAGGTGCATGGAGCTTTAAGCTTCAGCATGGGCGCATGAGCCCGGAAAACGGTCGGCGTGTTTCTCGCTCCCAAAAAATTGCCTCGCCTCACTCAAGCCACGCAGCGCGAGCTGCCTTTGAGGGGGGAACCGTTTGGGCGGGGGGGGGGAGCAGGGCATGTGCCCTCCAGCCACCTGAAAATCTTCTATCCCAGGCATGCGGCCCAACTCACAAGCCCAGTCCGCCTCCTCCGCCTTCGGCTTCTCCACGTTCACCTCGTACTTCAGAAGCGAGGGGGGCGTTGGACTGGACTCCTTGGATGCAACGCGTGCATCTTTCAGCTCCGGCGGCAAATCCTGCGGCTCCCTTGAAGAGTCCTTCGGCTCCTGGCAAAGAGCTCCGGTTGCCTTTCGCTTGCGACACGGAGACACGTTTGTTGCGGCACCGCTTAGAGCCTTGAGGTGCAGCCCACACCAGAAGCTGTGCAACTGGCCATATATTCACATGCAGTGTTTCATCAAAGCCGCGCACCTGCGCTTGTGTTCTCCAGGAGCGGATCATATGTGTGCGTCAGCACATGCTGAGCGGCATCTTCACAAGAGCAGCTCCTTTCTTATTCGGTGTTGACCAATGCGTGTTCCTAATGCCTCAGGTCATACAGAACAATAAATGCACCAGGCAACATGTGCCAATGACTTCTCAAGGTGCAAGGCTGAAAAAGCAGGCGTGAGGCAGATTCTACGTATTCTGCCAGGCACCCGTGCAACAAAGCAAAGAAGCCTGATTCTCTCAGGCACTACGAACGAGGATACCAATACATGAACAACTCATGCAGGACACGCGCAAGCAAGCAAGCAAGCGAAGCCCGCTTCGTGTCTCTCACGGAAACCCTCCGAATCAAACACGAAACACGAAGCGGACATGCGCCTCCAGCATCTCCTCCAGGTCCTCCGGATCCCACTCACCCTCCACACTCCGCCGCACTGGTTTCTTCAGGATCTGCTTCAGCTTCCGCATCGTCGGCAAGTGCAACAAGAAAAAAATGAGCCTTGGCTTTCTCCAAAGTGCGCCGGAGTTTTTCGGGGAAGAGATTGGTGCCAATCCGCCATCATAGAACCGATTGCAACAAGCCTCACACCGCAGGACAAGAAAGAAATAATTACTGGCATCATGGCTCGCCGCTTCGATCAAGGGGAAACTGGCGGAAGCATCTTGCAAACTCGCCGGTTATAACCTTCCTTGTGACTGGCATGGCTGACTTTCTGACAGGAGCTCAACAGAAATCCAAAGTATCTGCGCGCAGGATTCAGCAATGAAGCATGGAAGGCACGCTTCGGAAAAGAGAATCAACACGAAAAGACAGGGCCTGACAGCATCTAATCTCGCACCACTCCGGCTAATGGCGGCTGCGGAGCACAAGCAGCGCTGGAACACCATGCCCAATCATCACCGTGAGCTCCCAACTCCCCAGCAGCGTCTTCAGCGGCATCTGCAAATTGGCAACCGCTGATAGCACCCCGCCAATCCTCGAGGGTGCAAAGCTAGTGGAGCCTCTAGCCTTCAGGATTTTTCCAAAAGCCGACTGAGCACCAAAAGCACTGGCATTCCTGAAAACTGGATGTATGCAAGGAAAAAGGGTTTGGCAGACTTGATCAAGACCGCCGTATTTTTCTGCTCAAACTCATTAGGCACGAGAATGGTCGCAAGTGGCTCTAATACTTTTTCTACGGCTGTCCATGTGCATTTTTGCTAAGCTCGGAGCATGGACTCTCTTACACGTGGCCCTTCGCAAAAAGTGACGACCTGGACTCTTTTCGCAGGCCCCACAACAGCCTCACAGCATGCTGGATCAGCCAAGCAGCAGGTTGGCATCGGTGTAGAATGTCAAGATCTGACCCCAAGCAAGGCTCCGAAGCAACACAACGCTCAGCAGCGAGACGTGGCAGCAAATCGTGAGGTCGGCCAACAGCACCGTCACGATGTAAAGGATCTTACGCACTGAATCTGCATCCCGGTAAGCTTTTCGTGGCATGTACATAGTCATCAAAGGAGGTTCTGTTTCTTGTTAAACTTCCGTAGCACTGAAACTAATTGAGCTAGCTGCTTTGACACGACATAGCCATGGCAGATTGCTTGACACATAGATAGCTTTCCAGTATGGTTTGCGTGACACTCCTACCGAACGGCTTCGGAACGGTCCCGAGATGGGCAAGGACTGATTTGCGTGGCCGGCGCAACACTTTCGCAAGGTCAGGTACAGATTTCGTGGCAGGCGCAGCACTTTCGCAAGGATTTCGCGGCAGGCGCAGCGCTTTCGCAAGGTCAAAGGCAGAGTTCGTGGCAGGCGCAGCACTTTGTCAAGATCAGGTCTTTTTCCTCATCTATCTATCTACTGACCTACGAAACTATCTATATAGTTAAGTTATCTATCTGTCTATCTCTCGATCGATCTACCTATTTATCTATCCCTCTCTCGCTCCCGTTTAATCTTGTCTATCTACCTATCTGGTCTTTCGAATTTGACTCTCTTTATCTAATCATCTCACTTTCTATCTGTCGATCTACTCCAAACAAATCTAATCTAACCTTACCTTATCTTAATCTATATGTTTCTGTCTTTCTGTCGATCTAATCTCACTATCTAGCTATCTACCCGTCTCGCCATCTATCTTCAGTTCATTTCTTATTTGAAAGCGCTGCGTCTGCCAGGAACTCCGTCCTATTCCCTGTCTATCTGTTTGTCGGTCTATGTACTTATCATTTTCTCTCTCGACTTTCTAAAACGTTATGTTTATCTATTTTTCGTTCTTTCGTTCTTTCCTTTCTTTTTTTTCCTGTTTTGTTTTCTTTTCGTGTCTTTTCTTTCTTTCTTTCTTTCCTTTCTTTTCTTCCTTTTTCTTTCTTTCACATTCTACCTACCATTCTCTTTCTTTCTATCTATCTATCTACCAATCTATCCATCTATCTATGCATCTATGCATCTCTCTAACCATCTCCTCTTCTCTAACCCGACCCAATCTAATCCAAACGATCTATCTAGCTATCCATCTACTTACCTATCTGTTTATCGATCTATCTTCGGAAATCGCGAAATCTGCACCTGACCCGCGTGACGCTCATTCGTCCGTGCCATTGGAGTTCGCGAACAACTTGCAAAAGTGTTGCGCCAACTACACACTCTGCTCCTGACTCTGCGAAGGCGCTCCGCCTGTCATGACATCCGCACCTCCCCTTTCGAAAGTGCCGTGCCTTCCCCGAAATCACATCGCCAATCGAAAAAAGCGCTGCGCCTTCCATGCAATCTGCACTTCAGGCTGCCGAAGCGCTGCACTCACGCAAGAAAACGCCGGTCCGTCACGTGCCAATGGGCCCGGCACTGACCCCTTTCTGCACCCGTTCAGCAGCCGTTCCGAGCCCGCGAAAAACTGGCGTCGCGCGGCGGAGGTGGGCTCAAAGACCACTTTCTACCCCCAAGTGCTGCACCTGTCACGCAATCTGAACGCTTGTCACCTTTTCTCTTTGCTTTTCTTTTCTCCTCTTCTTTCTTCGTCTCTTCTTGTCTCTTCCGCTCTCATCTACTTTTAAACGACTAATCGCCTTGGCGCCAGTCTACGGAAGTTTCTTCTAAACATGCTTTGATTGCAATGGTTAAGGATTTTTTCTATAGTATCAGCTGGATGACCATCCCAGTTCACCCCAAGAAATGCTTCGACCATGGCATGTTGCCCATGCAAACAAGCTACCCAGTGGAGCTTCCCCAACAATGTGATGGCCAGCGGTGAGCAGGCGCTCAGGAGCAAGGCAGTGCCAAAGAACTTTGCAAAAATGTGCGTATCCAGAAAGGACATCAGCAGGATGGAGACCACCACCTCTGGCGCCAGATTCTCTGGCATAGGTTGCTGAGAAATGCCATGCGCTCTGTACGAATAGTGGTTGGGAGTGTTGGGAATGCTTGCAAATCAATGTGGCCTAACGGTTCTAACGTCTATCTTCTGCTCCACAACACACCAAGAAGGCTACAAGACCTTGTTTATCGCCGGATAATGCGGTGGCAGAGTTCAAAGCAAAAGTGCGAGATAGCGGGCCAAAGAGCTAGCAATATGTTGCTTGCAAATGTGATCATCAAACAACGGGACAAACTCGAAACGGCAGAACAGAGCGCTAAGTTGTTCAAGAAGAGGATTGGGTTGAAGTACCTCGGCTTGAAAGCGCAAGTCCGATAAAATGCCTTCCACGCCACCTGAACCCCACCTTCCGCAGAGTAGAGCAAGCTGACCATGTCCAAGTTGGGCCCTGCATGACTGATCAGCTCTGGGAATATGGTGTAGCCTCAGCTGCTAAGCTCTCAAAGCCAGCACGGTTCCAAACTACAAAAGAATCTGACGCAAAACACGCCTCCTCATCCTATCCAACTGAAAACCTCTAGCCCTTCGTGGCTGGGCTGGCCAGGGAGCTGTAGAAACTGTAGCTGTACACGACCAAGCACTGAGAGACCAACAGCACACGAAAAACTGGGTTGAGGTAATTCTGGTACCACACCTGGCAGTGCACACCCGTGAGCCAGAGGCTGACGGCAAGTCAAAGAGCACCTCTGTGTTCACTTCAAGACATGCAACAAATGGCACCAGCAATCCGCGCGGCTGCCATTGCACAATCCCGCAACAGTTTCGCCAGTTTCGCCTTCACTTCCACCTCCTCCACCAGGTCAGGGTGAACAGAGGCACGGATGGCCATGGACAGCCTTTCCGTTTGCAGGTTCGCGGCCACAAAAGCCACATCTTTCCCGAGGGCCGTGTTCAGTGGGGTGAAAAAGCTCATCCTTGGCTCATTGACAAAAAATCTGCCTGGTGACATGCACAAAGCAAAACACAGCTCACTCCAATGTGTGTGTGGGTCAACATCCAAAAACCCGTTTTTGGGTAACCCCCCCTTTTGCTTGGTTCATTTTGAAAGGGAATCCGGGGGTAGGGGGGGATCAGAGTTTTGACCCACAGCCATGACACCCCTCAAAATTGGGTCGACCCCGCGCCATGTCCAGACTCGGACTCCACTTGCGACCACGGGGCCGCGTCATCAGCGTGCTGCGGTCGAAGGCTTCGAGGCTGGAGAATCGCGAGCCGCGAGCGCTGCCGCGCAGGCCGGAGGGCCGCGCCTCCGGATTGGCCAAAAGGAGCACCCCAGTCAACAGGTTTGTTGTTTCCCAAACTGGATTGCATCTGTTGTGTTGGTGAGTGTTGAGTGTTGTGTTGGTGAGTGTTGTGTGTGTGTGTGTTGTGTGTGTGTGTTGTGTTGAGCTGCAGTGGAGCAACATGTGCACCCTGTATATTGAGTTGCACATCATGCGCTTGAATGCGCACGCGCGCTAAGGTGTCGCTTGATGTCAACAAGAGCAGGCTGCGCTTCTTGAAGGAAATAGTGTTGTCTCATTTCATTCAATTAAGACTCGTATGTGACACTTGTAGCAGGCTCATTCTTCGAGGTCTTGCGACTTGTGCTACAAATTGCCTCTGCAGGTCAGATGTTGGTTTTCCTTTTTTTGTGAATCTTGGAAGTACCATATGCAATCCAAGAAAAAAGCCGGCCGGTTTGATATCCAATACCTGGCGTTGAGTGAGATACCATGACATGCGAGCCGTTTCTCCCCTCTTTCTCTGGCCAGGTCACACTGGCGCGTACGGAGGGTTTGGCTCGTTCCTCGGGAACGCTCACCGAATCGCCAGGGGTCCAGTTAGGCAGACATGTTGTGCACCAGGCACAGCCTGCATTCCCCTGCAAACGGAAAAATCTCTAAGTGTCTGTCACGATGCATCATGTCACAGTACCCAGAACCATGTTATTCACGTGTTAGAATTGACGTTTAGAGAATGGTGCACTGCTCTCCCGCAACGGAGGGAACTTTGAGGAAGCCCATGTTTTGCTTCGAAGCATCCCATACTCCAAGCTGGCTGAGGTCCCTTTCACAAACACCATCTCAGGCTGATGAAAAGATTGATGGCCGGCTAAAAGGGCCAAAAACGGCCAAAACGGCAGTGCCGCCGCGCCGCGTTCCGCGGGGAGCGTGAGTTGCTGGAGGCCGGGGAGTTGCCAGAGCCAGGCGAGTTGCCAGGGTCACGGGGGGAGTGGCAGGGCTCCAAGCGACTGGCCCGGGCGCTGGCCCTGGCAGCGTTGAGACGGGAAAGGCTCTCCCGCGCCACGCTGAGGCGGGACAGCCGCGCGGGGCCTGCGACGTCGGAGGAATTGAACGCACACTGCCCCCACCAACCCTCTAACTCTTTTGCATACGGGTCTGACGGGTCTGAAAGCGAAACGCGATTCACCCGTCGGGCCTTCAAGCGGCACTGGAGGAGTGACAAGGACTGGCGGCGGGGCCCCCACTGTCATGGCCTGAACGGTCGCGTTCGCATTTGCGGACTGAGGCACCGGTGAACATGTCGAGTTCTCAAAATTGCGTTGGGGTTTCCCAAAAGAGACCAACATTTGGAGGAAACTTCGAAGTGAATCATGGATCCAGGATCATTGCAGATTGCTTTACTCAGACTGCAGCGGTGTTCCGGGGTCGACTCCTGCCTTTTGTCAAAGTCAAGCAAAGAGGCCCGCCTGTGAGAATCGTGAGCGATGCGTCCTTGCCGCTGTGCTTATGCGCGGCAAATTCGGGAAAAGCTCATCCACGGAAACGCGCTGCTCCTGCGCAGACTGAACATGAGCAACTCTCGCGGTGTGTGCTGGATTGACCGAAAGTGCGAAACGACTGACTTGGCAACGCCCAAGTGTCACCTGATTCATCTATGTTGCGACATGATGCGTGCTCCTTCTTCTCTTCCTCCTCTCCTTCTTCTATGGGCATGGGAGCGGTCTTGAAGTCTTCCAACGCTTGCAAATCCTCCTGCATCGCCTTCTCCATCTCCTCAAAAAGCAAACCTGTGGAGTCTCTGGAAGGGATCTGCGAGCAACTCGGACCGCAAAAACCGCCCGTCCTGCTCCAGCTCCAGCTGCTTCGCCAACATGCGCTCGGGGCTCCAGAAGCCGTCCGCCGGCAGCAGCATCCAGCTGGCCAAGCCCACCAGCATGGGCAGCACCATCGCCGTGGCCCTCAGCGCCCAACTCGCCTGGAAGTCCTGCGGAGAGAAAACCGCGCCTAAAGCCCATGGCTCGGCTCAGTCGGCAAATCCGGCTGACGCAAAATCAGAGCCTTGACCCAAGCCTTACTTGGAATGACAGGAAGTCCACGCCCTTTCCAAAACATGTCCTTGTGGTTCAAGCAGAAGCTGACCAGCGATGTCCTGCGCAAGCACTCATGTCTGCCCTAACCCATACATAACTCCATCGAGGCGCTACCCAGCTCGACTGGTCTCTCAGTTTGATGTCAGTCCAGAGGCAGCCAGCGGGGCTTGCGGCATAGTAGAAGAGAGTGCGGGCCTTGCAACGCTCCTCGCTGGGAGTGGTGAAGCAAGTGGCTGCTGTGATGTTGGCGGCCACCAAGTTCATGCTGGTCATCAGCAACAGCGTGGGCACCTCTCGCTGCGCAAACTCGACATCTCCAAACGAGGTGCAATGCAATCTCAACGTAACACATTGGGTCATGGTCCTTGACCAACCCCGCAACTCCTTGGGGTTGCGTGGATCAGAAATTGCATGGACTGACTAAGACAGAGCCCGGTCAAGGGGATTTCATTCGCCTCTGAAACTGACTCGTGCGCCGCCGTCACCATGGCCGCAATTACGAGGAGATAGGTGCCTGCGCTCACAATCTTCACCTCTCATCCAAATCTTGGCAGTGAGACATCGCATGCGGATACCGGCAGAAGCCTCTTAGAAACCGCTTGCTTTTTAGAAATACCCCCAAAAAGCCGCAACATTTGCTCAAGCCGAGCCCTTGGACTCATGCACACCATGCAACAGTTCTCCCAAGCGTGAATGAGTTCTAGCCTCCAATTTGCAACTGCAGCTCGCGAAGGGTGGTCCACCTGTGACCCAGTTGGTGTAGTATGATGAGCACCAGCATCTTCGAGCACCTGGCAAAACAACACGAGCCGGCCCGGAGGTCCGCCCTCATTCGAACGCTGATTTGATAGGGTGATCCTCACAAATCCAGTACCCGAAGAACGTGCATGAAAGCAAGCTTGAGTCAGTCAGGCAAACAGAGGTCACTCCACGGGGTTAGCCACTTGAGGTCCGGGCATCAGGATGATGCCTGCCAGTGTACTGTCCACCTCCTCCTGACCCTTGGCAGCTGCCAAAGACTTGTAAAGGGGATAGCACAAGAGCTGGCAGTAGGAGAACATCCCGGCTTGGAAGAACCTGGGCAGGGTTTTGCCGAGAACCTAGGCAGACGCATGAAGACCATGTTTTGGTCCGAGAAGCATGCAAAGCAGGAACTTTCGCTCGGTGGCCACATCGGCTTCTGGCATGTGTTTCACTTGGTGAGGCGTCTGGCTTCTTGAGAAAAAAAAAAAACAGCTTGCAGTCCCGGGCATTGCGTCCAGCACAGAATTGCAATTGCATGACTTCATATACTGCATGCAGCTTGAAAAACCGAGTTTTTGCACTGCAACAGACTTGGTGCTAGAACCTGTCACATCTTGGACATGTCCACAAAGTGCCACAACAATCCTAGGACCTTAGGTGGTCTTCCGTGGCGAAGGCAGCCATGGACTTCAAAACGGTTCGCTGCAGTGATCTCCGGTGCTCCTTTTTGGCCGCACGGCACATCTGGAGAATCGAGTGTTTCTGCTGACTCTTCTGTCTTGTTCACGGGCTGATTCGCACTCAAACCTTGCAGTATACCGCTTTGCTTTGGAGTATCCCTCCCCATGGCTGGAGGCTTTGGCAAGATTTGAATGCGATGGCTCGGGTTTTGTGCCACTCACGCCATCGAGGCAATTCGCCAAGATGTGCCTGTGGAAGTGCGGCAACCAATCCGGGAAGACCACACCGCGCACTGCTTCCGTGTGCCGCCTGCCTCCGGCGCCATCTTCCAGGACAACGCCCATGCCTTGCAAACGCGAAGCTTGCATCTCCCTCAAGGGATCTAATCAAACTACATGCCATGTTCGTGATTGCGCCTTTGAACTCTGAGCTGCAACAACCAAGAATCTTGGAGCCTGTCTTTTTGTCTGCTTTGAGTGAGTGATAGTCCGCCCTGCACAGAATATGGATGTTTCTCAAAATGTCGGGACCGACTCTGTTGCGTGCTTGCTTTCGCCAAAAGGCGACAAGCCCAGGAAAACCAACCCATGAAAAGGCTCCTTGGCTGTGGGTCAAAACCCTGTACCCCCAGTGAACATCCCAATCCCCACTAAAATAAACAAAAATGGGTGGTGCACCTACCCCAAAATCGTACCGTTGGTTTTGACCCACAGCCAACTGGGTTGCGACGTTGAACCCAACCTCAAAGCAGTGATCTTTCTCCCTGGGCGCCAGGCTGGTGAGCTCCTCTCGGATGGCATCTGCCCGCGCAAAGTCCTTCTCCTGCCTCGCGTCCGCACGCGCCTGGCGCAGCAAGAAGCTCGCCTTTGAAAAGAAAAGTCCACGCGGAACCACCTTTCGCGAAGGCCACAAGTCTCCAGTTGGTTTTGTATGCTTTCATGCATAAGCAAACAAAGCCCACGTAATTCATGGCAATTTCCGGCAAGCCAGCTCGGCCAAGAGAAGCGGAATGAAACCAACATGAAGCGCAAATCGCGCTGTGCCTGGATGAGGCTTTCCACTTTGGCCTCAAGGCGCGCCACGTCCATCTCAAGCGACGCCTGCCTTCGAACACCTCGCCTGCAGGTCATCGTCCGAACCGCGACACACCTCCTCCGCATCACGCCTCGCGCATGGCGAGGGCCGAATCCATGCAGCAATCCACGCGGAGAACGGCTCCCCAAAACGAGTGGTGTCGGTCCGATTCAAGAGGTCACTAGGTCCGTTGACAGCAAGGCGCCAGTTGCAGTCGCAGACATGGGCAGTTTTTGTGTCGCTCACTTGGGTCGCCACTGCAGAATGCCCAAAACGGAGCCCATGGCCCGCAAGTGCCTGCCATGCTTCGGCTGCGCAGTCGAAAGTGTTTGAAGCACCAGAAGCTTTTCCCTTCACCAAATTCTCCGCTCAAAACATACAAAAGACCCTGTCAGAGGAAGGCCTGGCTTTTGCCTGGTACTCTTCCCCACTCTCTTCTCCTGGAAAGCTCGCGGCATTTCAAGGCGTTGCGATCAACGTCCGTCCTTGCTGGAGCTGCAGCAGCTCTTTGGACAAGTCGGAAATCGCCTCAGGGACACGCAGAAAACGCGGCACCTCTGCGGTTTGAACCCAAAGCCGCAGCGCACAAGATCGTGTGTTCTTCAAGGATTCTGGAAGGCAAGACATGGCCATGGGTCGAAATCCCGTACCCCCAGTGAGCATCCTCTAAAATTAGATGGGTGGTGCATCCACCCCAAAATGGTACCATTGGCTTTGACCCACAGCCACATTGCCCTATCGACAGAACTCGGCGTTGCCATGGGCCCCCGGCCGAAATGGCATTGACCGTGTCGAAGTCCTCAGTGTCATTCAGCGCATTAGGTTGGCGGGCTGAAACAATCCCCCACACGCGTCTCCCTAACCTCCATTGCGAAAACGTTGCAGAGAGAAAAACCAGCACCATGCGTGCTGCACAGCCTGAGTATGGAAGAGACCTGATATTCTTGGCCACATTTCGGCATGTGCAGCTTGCGGCTCTGTGATGCGGACACACATGGGTATGCAAAATATGATTATGTGTGTATCAGATACTGCACTTGGTGTTTGCAGGACTATACATACATGCAAGTATGTTTCGATGCAACAATGGCATTGGTGCCACGCTATCCAGAGCCTTCATAGTTACCCAAAGGAGAGCGATCTGCATAGGAGATAGGACAGATTCCACCCTGAAAGAAGGCATGCCCAATTCTGCCAAAAACTGCCAATTCTGCCAATTCTGCCAAGGTACGTTGGACATGGCCAAGAGGAAGCGACCGTGCTGCCTTGAGAATTCGAGACACCGGCCAACGCTTTTTGTCCTTTCCGCTTTCTTCTCTGCCCTTTCGGACCCTGGCTCGCACTCGGCTGGCTCGCACTCGGCGCCCCCGGGCTTTGCCCTTAGTTCCAAGCACATCTCAAACAGACCCCTCGTGAGCTCCCTCGCGCTTTTTCGCATCGCGCCCAAGACCGACCAATTCCCCCAACTCGGCTTGGCGCTTTGCGCTGAGCTCCGCGCCCCCGCAAAGCGCCGTACAGCTTCAGCAGCCGCTCTTGCGCCTGGCCGGCCGCAAGCCGGAGGTTCGTTTGTCACGTACAACTGACTGAAATCCGCTAGCCAACTGAGACTCCAAATCACACTTTGTAGCCAGGTGATATGGCCTTGATACACATGCTTTTCATCAAGCCCACTTGCACAGGACATCGGCATCCTGCCTCTTCCAGCGCCTCCTCAGAGTAGAGCAAGGGCCTGCATATCTCAAATGGATGGATATGGACAAACTTCACGAAGTTTGGCCTTCTGAGGCCTTCTGTAAGTCCAATGAAGGCTTAAGAATTCGCACAGGACCCAAGCACTTGCTTCCTGGTTGGCGGTGCTTTTTGCAAGTCCGGGTGGCCTTCGATACTGTGAGCTGAGGAAGTAGAAGCGGAGGACCTCCACCGAAACACCAACTTTAGCTCCGATGGGAGTCCAAAGCCCCGAAAGACCGAGTCACAAGGAATCTCAGTGGCTATCCCTCATGTCAATGGAAAAGCATGGCATGTGAACAGGTTTGTCCAGCACCTCCCCGTCATACTTCTTCAAGGCATCGCGAATGGTCACCTCGGTGAGCATCATACTTTGCTGAGCCTTCTGAGTTTTGGCTGACACAACGGCCTATGATAATGGATGTTGTGAGTGTTCAGTCTCTATCCCAAGTGTCAAACACTGCAGGGGCCTGTTGCACCTGTGAAGGCACAACCGCTCATCAATTATTTGGCATTCAAGCCGTGCTCCCCTGGTCTGACTTTCACCGGAAAGCCTTCTTGACTGAGTTTAGAGTGCACGTTTGGACCGTAGGAACTCACCCTTCAGCCCTTGGCAAAGTTGCCCAGGGACTTGGACATCTTCTCCTTGCCGGTACTCCGCCTGAGAGCTCGAAAAAAACGCCGGGCAGGGATCTGAGATGGGATCCCGGATCCATCCCGGATCCATCCCGGATCCATCCCGGATCCGTCCCGTCCCCGCGCTCAGCGAGCGGCACTGCGGCACAGTGCATCCAGGTCTTCACATAGGGAGCGCCATTGGCGGCCTCGCCTGGCCGCAATTGAGTCACTTGCTCAAAACCCGGTACTAAAACGGTCGACCCAGAACCATGCTTCAAGAATCAAGAAGGCGGCCGCAGCTATTTATGGTTGGGACCCTGGGATTGTCCCTTACTATCCTTCATCTATCCGGGCTCATATTAAAACACACAAAAAATGCGCAGCTTCGGGACTTCTCCCATCGCGGATTGGAACTGAGGAACATTCATTCCCCTTTGGAATTGAGAAAGGTGCGCATGTCATCCACTCGCAATTGATGTTTGCCACAGTGCCTTGAACCAATGTCCAACATCAAAGCATTTGTCAGGATCTATCCCCAATCGACCACTTCAGTGGCATCTTCAGGCAGGAACTCTGAGCTGGACCATGAGACTTCGGCTTTGCGCGATCTCGTTCTCGTGGTGGGGGAAAACCAGGTCCGGCCTCAAGAAGATCCGCAAAGGAAACAATCAGAGCTTGGTCCTAAGTAACTGGGGCAAGTGAAGCGAACGAAGGAGCCATGACAAAGGCAGCACGCAATCTAAAACCTTTCGATTTCAGATCTAAAACGTTTCGATTTCAGGATACCTAGGCCCTAGGCATGCTTCAGCGAAACTGTGGTGAACTCTTTGACCACTACACTCTCGGTCTCGTTCAGGGCCTTTGGCTCCAAACCCACCACCGTGGATGTCCAACGTGTCGCCCAAGTACTTCTTCGCCATGGCCTCGATATGCACCCAGCAACACGGCCGGGAAAGCGAGCGAAAGGAAGGCTGGGCAGCCGACGCTGCACTCGATGTGCCATCCAGGTCGCCCAGGGCTCAGCGGACACTCGAGATGCTTCTGGCAAGCTATTCACGCACAAGCATACTTGTCCTTTAGGGGAAATAGATGGCCCTGGTAGATGATTAAACCACCAGGGCCATCAATTTGTCAACCAAAACAACCAAAACAAAACCTATGCGCACAAGCCACATGTTGGCCATTACAGCCTTTGGATCACAAGCTTTTCCAAGGCTGTCACATGCCATTCTTCAGGTTTGCATGGCTCTCCTCTTCGGTTTTTCTCGGCTCGATATCCGGCTGAGACCCCCGACCCCCAAGGAGACTCCCAGGACGGCTCCGAAGGCTTGGCCGACTTCCACAGCACGAAGTCCTCCGGAGACTCTTTGACCTCCGCCACCTGCGAGCGACCATTCCTTGAAGGTGTGGGAGCGGAGATAACATGCCAAAGTCGTAGAGTTTCACCCAATCGAGCAGTCAATTGAAGGCCCAGCCAATCTAGGATCATTTGGAAGAAGCGCACCCCAACACAAACAGAGAGAGAGAGAGAGAGCAAAAGAGAGAGAAAAACAAAGAAGAGACCGCGCCTCCACCCGGGCACCGGCCTCATTACCGTCCAAGCTGCACCTTACAACCATTGCAGCCAGCGCATTGCATCACCCAATCTCGCTCTCCCGCCTGGACAAGCGGCCATAAGTCTCAAAGCGCCGCACGCGGAAGTAGACGTCCCCGCCAGCCTGGTGAGGGGCCAGCATCATTCCAACGTCTGAGTCATAATCAAAACCCGGTACTAAAGTGGTCGACCCAGAACCATGTAAAGAATTAAGAAGGCGGATATCCGCAGCCATGTCCCTTACCAACTTTCATCAACCCGGGCTTGATTCTGGCTCATCTGCAGAGTTTGCTGGTCGTACGTATGCCTGTTGAACTCCCCGACACTTCGCACGTGCCTGCCTTGCCCACATAGGCAAAGTCCTTCTCCACCAGGGTGTCTGCAACAAGGTGGGTTCTTCAAAAAAGAACGAATCTTTCAAAAAGTGGTCAAACCATGGCGTGAGAACGTGTGCAGAACGTCTAGCTCCCCGCACATTGCGCCAATACTGGCATTCGAAACAAATTGTCTATGTTCTACTTCGTTCTGTCTGTGTATATATATATATATATAGATATATATATATATATATATGTGTATACGTGTACGTATATATATATATATATATATGTTCCAGGCCGTGGACCCCCCCCCTCCCCCCCCCAACCCCCCCCCCCTGTGGGGGTGGGGTGGGTGGGTGGTGGGGTGGTGGTGGGGTTGTGGGGTGGTGGTTGGGTGGTTGGGTGGTTGGGCCAACCCCCCCCCCCCTGTGGGGGGTGGGGTGGGTGGTGGGGTGGTGGGGTGGTGGGGTGGTGGGGTGGTGGGTGGTGGGGTGGTGGTGGGTGGGTGGTTGGGTGGTTGGGTGGTTGGGTGGTTGGGTGGTTGGGTGTGGTTCGGAGTTGGTTTAGGCTTGGTTCAGGGTTGGTTGGTTAGGGTTGGTTCAGGGTTGGTTCAGGGTTGGTTCAGGGTTGGTTCAGGGTTGGTTTGCGGTGGGTTTCGGGTGGGTTTGGGTTTTGGGTTGATTTAGGCTTAGGGTTGGGGTTAAGGAGGGGTTGCAGGGTGGTTTGGTTTAGGGTAGGATGTTGCGAGAGGTGCGGGGGTGTTGGTTCACGGGGTGAAAGGGGGTCTGGGACCGAAGCTGCAGGGCTCGCACGGTACTGGACAGCATCCCCAGCATTGCCAGCATCATCCCCAAGATGCGGATGATGCGGGGGAATGGGGGGACCATACCATTGGGGGGGGGGGGGGGGGGGTACGTGGCCCAGGGACTGGTACATATATACACATGACATTACACTGCATTACACTACATTACATTGCATTGCCTTCCATTGCATAACATTCCATTGCATAACACATTACACACCATTACACTACACTACACTACACTACATTACATTGCATTGCATTGCATTACATTGCTCTATACTACATTGCCTTACATCACACCACATTAAATACTTACCTAAATTCTTACATACCTACATGCATACATACATACATACATACATGCATGCATACATATACATTACATACATATATGCATGCATGAATTCATGCATACATACATACATACATACATACGTACATGGATGCATACATACATACATGTATGCATACATGCATACATACACACATATATGCATGCATACATACATTACATGCATTACATCCATACATTGCAGTACATCACATCACATCACAATACATTGCCTTGCGCTACATTGCAGAACATACGTTACATACATTATACACACACACTACGTACATTAGATACATTACATACGTTACATACATTGCATACATTACATGCATACGGTACGTATACATTACATTGCCTTACATAACATGACATGACATTACATTACATTACACAAAACGTGTATGTATATATATACATACATATATACATATCATACCATGGCATGACATACATAACATGACATGACATAACATACATACATACATACATACTATTACATTACATTACGTTACATTACATTATGGTACATGACATTACATTATATGTACGCTACAGCACATACCTCACATCACATTGCAGTACATTTGTTACGTTACATACATACATTGCAATACATACAATACATACATTACATACATACATTACATTACATTACATTACATTACATTACATTACATGACATCACATCACATCACATCACATCACATTACATTACATTACATTACATACATTACATTACATTACATTACATTACATTACATACATACATTACATACATACATTACATATACACACATACATTCATGCAGACATACATACATACATTACGCTGCATTACATAACATTACATTATATTATAATACACCATGTTACATTGCATTACATAGCATGACATGACATTCATACACGCAAACATACACTACTTACTTACGTCCTTACTTACTTACATACATGTATGCGTACATACATACACATACGCAACATGCCATAACATTGAAAACTTAGGTTGCCTGCTTTCCGCGCATCGCATACATGATATATTTAACATAACATGCCATCACATAACATAACATAGTGTTCCATTACATTACGTTGCATTGCATACCTTACATAGCTTACAGTGATGACATACATTACACGTATTACATACTTTATGTACATACTTACTTATGTTGTCTTTCTTGCGTACTTAGTTATGTATTTACTTAGTTACGCACATACATACATGCAGGCATACATACACACATACACGCATACATGCATACATGACATCATTGCATTACATTACATTACATGACATTACAACCTCTACATTTTATTACGATCTCCTACATGGCCTCACGTCACACCACATCAAATACATACATACATACATACATACATACATACATACATACATACATACATACATACATACATACATACATACATACATACATACATACATACATACATACATACATACATACATACATTACATACATACATACATACATACATACATACATACATACATACATACATACATAGATGCATACACTACGTTACGTTGCGTTACGCTACATTACATTACATTACGTTACGTTACATTACATTACATTACAGTACATACATGCACATATATATATATATATAATGCTATACATATATGCCTGTGTATATATATATACATATAATACTATGTATGTATTATCCACTTGGCATCCAAAATGCACGCACCCAAGTCTGGGCCCGGCTAGTCAGGCTGCTCCAAGGTCCTGCCTACCATGCCCTTGATCTCATCCAACGTCTCCGAGACTCTCCTCAAATGCAACGCCTTGAAAAGGGGAAAGTTACCGGAAAGTTGGATCAAACTTGCAGAGCTGAAGCTTGGTCCAGCTGGCGACTCCAAGAGCCAAGGCTCGGCTCAAAGTCAGGCGCTGCGCAGCCCAGGCCTCCGGCTCCCGCACGAGGCCAGCTGGACGAAGTCCGTTCAGAAAGCCGATTCGATTCCCCAATACCAACAAAGGTTTTTGGTATCAAGCTACCACGGTTTCAAAGTGGTGGATGTTGTCCATCAGAATGTCTTGATATGTGACGGTTAATCAACTTTCCATCTAGGGCCCCCCAGTTTGATCATGGGTAACTCTTGCCATTTGGTCATCTTTTTTGCTGATTTCCCTTAAAGGTCACCCCATGCAAAGGACCTTTTGATCAACCCCCATGTCTGCCCCGCAACATCCTCGCGTGTCAGCAGTTCGTTCTACGGATCCACAGGCCCCGGCTGGCGGCATCTTTCTGCATCTCAGCCTCCATCCTGGCTCTCAAGGGTGGTCCGGCTGGCATCTCGAGTTCAACGGAAAGCCAGCAGCTCCACCATTGCTCCGAACAAACAACCCAAGCGCCAGTGCCATGAGCAGCGTCACACACCAAAAATGCACGCGACCGTGCGATGACCACCTCCGCGCCAGGCCCTCAGCCTCGGCTTTCGAATCCCAAAGACATCCCACTGGCCCGCTTGAGCGCGGGGCCGACTCGCCGGCGTCCTGGCTCCTGTTGATGATCTTGTCATCCTGACGAGATACAAAATCAGGAATGCCGGATGGATTCTGACGATTCAGCTCGGGGGGGGCTTCCAACATGCTCCAGGACTTCGAGTCCCAACATGCAAGGCTTGTGCAATACACGGTGGCTCAGGCTTGAGATGCAGCCAAGCAGCAATGTCCGTGACATTGCGAACGTAAACGACTTTGTAGCCAAGGTGCCTGCAACCAAATGGCCGTGGCCAACGGGCAATCCGTGGAAGTTGAAGTCTGACCAACGCCAAGTGGCCACCTGGCCTGAGCAAGCGCGCCACGACGTCAAAGAACACCATGACGCGAGCATGGCCTCGGCCGCTTCCGGCTCGTTCAGTGCGCGAATGCGCCGGCGGCGTGCCAAGCAACCAAACTTGGATTAAGCCGACTTGCGCATTTGTTTGGCACCGAACAAATGTGGAATAAGCAATGCCCTGTCCATCCTCTCTTCGGGATGTTTGACGTGCCAATCACCTGCGCCTTGAATGAGATCGTGCAAGTTTCGTGTGCAGAGACTGCAGGACTGCACTGATCAACTGAGGAACAGGCCCAAATGGCAAAGGTCGTACACAGTGACGCCACCTCAGTTTTGGAGTCCACCGTGGCTCAAACATGTTGAACATCTTGTGGCCAGAACCTTGAACCTGTTTCTGGGGCATGAAGGTCAAGGTGGTCATGTTCCCAAGAGAATTTAGAGGGCCAGTTGTCGTGCCCTGTGACCTGCCTGTGGGTCCGCTCGAACTTGACTCCTCGCTTTTCTTTGGAAAATATTTGGGGGTGCTTTGTTTCAACCCATGCAGCAGCACCTTTCGGGCAAAAACTATCCCAGTTTGTATATCTGAAACAAGAGAATCCAGTCAAAATGGCAAGTGTACTCCTCATGATCAGCCTACTTGATGAGTGTCGCAAGCACTCACATCTCAACTGACAAGCAGGGTTCTGCCCAGCCACATACGTACATCTTCACCACACCCGGCTCCAAGGTCTCAAACCTGACGCCCGAAGCGCTTCGAACGACACATCGAGCAGACTGCTGCAGCCGGCCCAGAAGCCAACATCGGCCTAAGGTGCTGGCGTCTCCTTTGCACGACTCAGCCTTGGCCAAGAGGCCGAAAATGCCGTAGAGCAACAACTATTGAACCCTATGCTTCAAGATAAAGAAGAAATGTAAGCCGCCACAAGGTCGAACAAAAACAGAAACTTTGGCATAAACGGACCTTGAAGGGTTCCTCTGCGTTCCTCGGGGCAGGCCCGGGCAAGTAAAAACAACGACGTGTTTTTTTCTTTCTTTTTTCCGGTTTTCTTCCGCTGGAGAGTCCAAGGAGAAATTGGGGGCTGCGATAGGGGGCCGCCGGCCGCCTTGAAGGGGATGTCAGCAATCTGCTGCTTCGGGCTGGCTGCTTGTTTCGGGTTTGAAGATAACCAAGACTGTGAAAGTTATGAGCATTGGCAGATTGGCGGTAGCTTTTGCAAATTGATATTCGGATTTGAGGAGGCAGACGGTCGTCCATCGGGGTTATGGCAGGTGCAAACGTAGATTCATTTGGGTTTTTTCCACCAAGACTTGTCGGAAAGACTGCTTTCAATATTTATCAGGGGTCAACAGAATCAGCAAGGACTATCCCCATCCACACTTGCATACTTGCATGTGATCATGAGCGACCGCCACACTTCTATCACGCAAGGTAGAGACAACAAAATGTGAAGCAGCTGATCCAACAAGTCCCAACAGCTGATCCGACGAGTCCCACCTGCATTCAAACTCAAAGAAACTGCGCGCTGTGAAGCCTACCTTTGAAGTCGGAAATATGTTAGACAAGAACATTGCCTGAAACCCAAACTGCCCTGACTGAGTCAGCCGCGTGTTGTAAATCTGCAGAGGCGCTGGCTCGGAGTCTTCCTGATTGTGCCGAGGATGAAGATTCAATGGACTCTCTTTTGTCCTGCTTGAACCCTGTACACGCATACACACACAAGGATGCTGCCAGACAAGGACAGTTGCTCGAGTAATTTCACAAAGCGTGTTTTCTCCTCATCACTCTCACCTGCAACCAGCATCGACACCTTCTTGTTCATGAGCTTGAACCTGTGCACAGCTGGAAGCCATGTGCAAAAACATGAAGGGGAACAAGTGCAACACAGCTTGGAAGCTCCAGTCTGCGGCAGAGCGCAACACGAATCAGAAACACAATCTGACCAAAGCCGGGTAGTCGGTCGTCTGCACAAGATACCTTCTAGGGCCTCAAGCATTGTCTCCACAACAGCTGACACTTACTTGCAATGTTCCTTAAGCAACAGGTATAACCCTTCTACGACATGAAAAGACAGCCTGAACAAACAACATGACATCAAGCACCAAAGCCCAAAGCCCAAGCCCTGGCTGAGGTGCCAGGCATATTGTAAAAACCGTTGTTGCGGCCCGGCGTCAAGGATGCAGTGATGCCCGAGGCCTAGACACCGGCAACTCGCCTCCCCACTCGATCTATTGTCGGCAGTCACAGCTACTGTGCTGACTGTCACTCTGCGCCCCATCCATTTGTATACATCGATAGCTGGTGCACATTTCGCAAAAACAAATCCGCACTAACTAGCTAGCTAACTAAGTAATGTATCATTCCTTCCTTCCTTCGTTCCGTCCTTCCTTCCTCTTTCTCTCTTTCTCGCTCATTCTTTCTTCTCTATCTCTCCGTTCGGTCACTGTGAATCCTCGTGCCTTGATGAACTCGGGCTTCACGTTCGCGATCTCCTCAGGCGTGCAGCCGCTGAGACAGAGCACCAGCAGCGCCACAAGGCCTGGCTGGCCCTCGGCTCAACTCTGAGAGTCTGGGGCTTCGGGGGGTTGGGGGGGTCGGCTGAGTCCTGAGTTCTGGTCGGGTTCGGTTAAAGCCCGAGTTCCTTTTGGCAAGAAACCACCAACTGACCGCATGCCCCTTTGGATCAGTGGAGTGCGATGGCCTTTGGAAATCAAGGCATCGGAGTCGCCCTGGAAGGTCACGGTGCCATTTTCTTCGAGAGTGGCGGTGACCTTGCGTTGCATCTTGACGCCCACAATCCGTGAATCTCTTCTCTGTGCATTCCAACGAGGCATATGACGGCACTGCTAGTGGGTTCTCAGAAATGGCAAGTTGCATCACTTCGGCCTGGGCCTCCACGCATGCACTGTGCTCAAGCACCCAGGCACCTTGTTCTCCGGCACCTTTAGTTCTTCGTCCATGGCTGGAAGCCTCACGCTTGGGACATAGCGAGCAAGCTCGCGCGCTGACCGCGAGCCGTCTGAGGCAGAGGCTTCGCAGCCAAAGCCATCAGCTGCTGATAGCCTGGGAAACGGAAGGACTGACACAGAGAAAGCAAAAAACGGCAAGTGCATGATATGGATGGGGGAAAGCTCCAAGGCTTTGCAGGGAAAGGGCGAAAAAGCCTGCGCATCATACCTTCTTCTGAGAATTCTCCGTACACTACCAACAAAATGTGCCCAAAGCGCCGCGCGCAAGCGGTCATTGGGCAGCGCCGCGAGCGCACTGGCCATGCCCGCAAGCTTTGGAGGGAGGCCTGCCATGGCAAACATCCGCTTGCCATTTGGCTGTGGGTCAAAAATAGGTGCCCACAATGGAACCTAGGCAAATGGAAACATGGACAAACCTGCGGTCCCCTGGCGGCTTTATTTTGACCCATACCCACCTCTCTTCATAGTGACAACTTTGATTAAATCGCGTGGCCATGCAAGAATTGTTCTGAGTCAAGTTGCGAGGCAAGCATCGCGCAAGCATCCGTGAACTATAGTCTCCTGTGCTTTCACATGAAGGAGATTTGGCCGGCATTGCTCTCAGTGCCAGACCAAAGTCACCCGGCTGCAGCGCAGCTCGTGCCGTCTGCATCCGTCTGCGGGTCCACACCTGGTCCAGCGCCCAGACTGACAAATCTCAAATGGTGGCTGCAACCAAATCCTATCTTGTCGACCCCTGCCTGACTCCACCTTTCCGTTTCACTTCATGGGCGTATTGCTGTGTGTATGCCTGTCTGTCTGTGTCTCTGCATGTGTGAGTTATATCTGTCAGTAGGTGGGTAGTTAGGCATCTGTGTGGATGGATGGATGCATGGATGCATGGATGCATGGATGCATGGATGCATGGATGCATGGATGGATGGATGCATGGATGGATGGATGCATGGATGGATGGATGGATGCATGGATGCATGGATGCATGGATGCATGGATGCATGGATGCATGGATGCATGGATGCATGGATGCATGGATGCATGGATGCATGGATGCATGGATGCATGGATGCATGGATGCATGGATGCATGGATGCATGGATGGATGGATGGATGGATGGATGGATGGATGGATGGATGGATGGATGGATGGATGGATGGATGGATGGATGGATGCATGGATGGCTGGCTGGCTGGCTGGCTGGACGGACGGATGGATGGAGGGAGGGGAGGGATGGACGCCTGCATGCCTGTATGCCTGCATGCCTGTATGCCTGCATGCCTGTATGCCTGCATGCATGTATGCATGCATGCATCGATGGATGGACGGATGGATGAATGTACGCATGTATGCATGGATGCATGTGTGTATGTTCCTTTGTATGTTACCATGTGTATGTTTGCATGTGTGTATGTTTGTAAGTCTGTATGTGTATGTGGTGTATGCGAGCGCGCCTCGCTGTGAGTGTATGCATGTGTATGTGTGTATGTCTGTAGGCCTGTATGTCTGTATGTGTGTATGTGTGTATGTACGTATGTACATATGTAAGTATGTAAGTATGTAAGTATGTAAGTATGTATGTATGTGTGTGAGTATGTAAGCAAGTTAAGTAAGTAGGTAGGTAAGTAAACCAGCAGGTAAAACAGCAAGCGATCAAGGAAGTATGTATGTAGGTAACTAAGTAAGTATGCAGGCACGTATGTGGCCTTGAGCATGTCACTCAAGAGCCGGCTTGAAGTCCCTGCGAGAATGCCAAGGGTGAGTTATGGAAAGCATGCTGTGCCACCTTGCTTTATCACATGTTTGTGCCTTCACAACCATAACCTTGCGTTCGCTGGGGTTGCAGGTGCTTGCTGCGCTTTGACCGCGAAAAGCTCTCACCCGCACGCGCCTTGGGCACGTTGCTGCCCATCAAGCCAAGACAAAGGCCTACCGACGTATGATTCGAGAACCAAAATGATAAAGAAGCAGCACTTCAACGATCTTTGATCTGGCAAACTGAAGCAACAGAGCTGCATGCCTGCGCAAGGAGCAATGCTCACGTGGTGAAACCCGCTTCCAGGACGCTGAACGCTTCCAGGACGCTGAACAGGCCTGGCAGGGCGCAAACAAAAGAAAACACAGGTGCTCCCCCCTGAGACTGTCCACCCGTGCCAATACTTGCCTCAAGCTATTGGGTGCATGGCTGGAGGCTGCCACGCCGGGCCTGGCAAGGGCCAGGCGGCAGTCAGTCTGGGTCTTCGCAAGCACCGATGCAAAGTCCGATAAAGAAACCATCGATCTCAGGCCATGGTGGGAAGTCGGCAAACTGAAAAACCGGTTCGCCTTACGAAGGCTTCACTTGGAGCGCTCATCGCAAGAGAGCTGCCCATGGCTGCATTCCCGGCTTCCAAGTTGCTGAGATGCTCCGCAGATGTTGGAAGCATGGCAGTACCATGCTTTTGGAGTAAGAACTCTTCTGGGTTAGTTTAAGCTCAAATATGTGTCACGTTGACTTCAGCAAGCCGCGTTGCGCTGCAGAAGTGTTCCAGAAAATGAGAAATGCGCGCAAAGTGCAAGAAACGCAATCAAGGCCAGGGGGTGCCAGTCAAAAGGTCCGACGAACTTTGGCCAAACAGCGCTAATCCAAGTCTGGCACCCAGAATTGTCCGATTAAAATCGTTCATCTGCCTTCCCCAAAATCCGGAGTAAAAAAAATGGCAACACTTCTATGAATGGTCCTTCCATTCAGTTGAAGGCCGTCTCTGCAGCCGGATTACGCAATCAACGCAATATCTTGCCTGGGTCGAGATTCCGACTTGTTGCCTGAACCTAGGAGTTTCAAAAAAATACACCAGCCTCGACCGGTCTGTATAGCCCAAAAAAAAGGCTTGTCTCCTTCATGTAAGGTGCGAAATTGTGCAGTTTGTGTGAGCAACACATAGTTACAATCAGTGCAGGAAGTCCCCTTTGTTGAGAAGAGGACACATCGGGTCCATCCATCTCCTTGACGCCGGGTAAAAGCATCGATGTTGTTCATCGACTTCGAGGAGAAAATTCCATGTCAATGCCATGTTCGAGAGTGAAGGCCCCGGGGATTCGGGGTGAATCAACCTAACACCTGGCATTAATTAAAGGAAGTTGAAGGAACTTTCGTAGTACGGACACTCAATGCACTTTTCCATCACTGCAGCATTTGGTGGCCGTCTCGCTACTCTGCTGAAACTTGCGCATCAGTCTCAGCAGCCTGCGGCCGAGACTGGACACATGCCACTTCTGATTGCTATCTTCTTCTCGAGCTCGGCTAAAGGTCTTGCCACAAGCAAAGCAAGAGAGCGCTTGCATAAACTTGCAGACTGCGCCTTGTAGCGTTACGGCCGGGACATCCTCGCCTAGCAACGCAGACACACGCCGCGCCAAATTGGCAAGCGTCGGCAAAGGTGCCCATTTGGCGCGCACCTCTGTCACCCGGCGCAGCTCCAGAAAATCCTCAGTGTTTGAGCCGGCAGTAGCTTGGTCATCCAGCGTCTTCCTCTGTCGTGTCCAGCGCGCCGCATGCTTCCAAGATGGCCAACGCATGGCTTTGCTCCATGCATTCTGGAACAAGCGGCCAGCCCTGCTCCATCTCGGAAACGTGTGAGAACTTTGCCCCAACTTACCAACGCTGGCTGCACAGTGGACACCACCAGCTGGGCCGGGTTCATCTTGGAGTTGGCGCTTATGGTTCGCAGATTGGTGTTCACATGTGTGGTGAATGACCGGTCGTCATTCCAGCGCACGCCGCTGCCAACAACTTCTGGGCCTTGCGTTCACTCAGCTCCAGCAGCGCAGTAATCAACTGGCCGGGTTCATGAAGTAACCAGGCCACTCTGCGATTGCCGAAACGGCTCTTGTTGATGGCCCCAAAAAGAAACCATCAAACACGGCGGCGGCGTTAGCAACTCTTATTAGATTATACAGCCACCGAACATGTGTCGAAACATGGCCATGACCGTGTGTCCTTGTTGCAATCACGACATTCAGCACCAGAGCCGCCATTCCGCAATGTTGCTGGGGAGTTCGCCACGCACGCAGGGTGTCCATCAACACCGAAACCTTTTGCTTGAACGGGTCGGAATTGATGTTCAAGGCGTAGTGGAGGCGAAGCTGTGTCGTCAAAGAAGAAATGCGCAAGTTCCTCTGAGCAAGTTGTTGGCGCGAGTTCCTTTGAGCAAGTTCTCCAAGCAAGTTCTTGGTACAAATTATCTGAGCAAGTTCTCTCAGCAAGTTTCTCTGAACAAATTTCAATGAGCAAGTTGTCTGAGCAAGCTCTCTGCGCGCAGCGCTTGCCGCAACACACTGCAAAACTCACTACTGCAACTTGCTAGCGCCGCTTGCTGGTGCTACTTGCTAGTGCCACTGGCTAGCGCTACTGGCTCGCGCATCTCGCAAGCGCTATCTTGCTCGTGCTACTGGCTTGCGCCATTTTGCTAGTGGCATTTTGCCAGTGCAACTCGCTAGTGCTACTTGCGAGCGCAACTTGCTTGCGCAACGTGCTGGTGTCATCCGCTGGAGGTCTTTCCTGCAGCACCGCTTCATACGATTTTGGCTAAGACGGTGGCTGACCCGCACAAGCCCTCTGGCCACTTGGCTGGGCTCTGCTGATGCGCCACAAGGATGCAAACTGTCAAGAGACGGCAAGGTGACGTCCCGTGGGACGCTATGCACCGAACCCTCAAGCTGTAATACCAACCACGTAGAAAGGTGTATACGGACGATGCCGTTATAGCCGAACCCGTGTAAACGTTGTAAGGGAGAAGGAATGATAGTTACAACAGTGGTCCTGACAAATGCAGCGCAAGCGAAGTGTTTTCGCTCTCAATGCCGATCACGTATGTATGCAGTCACACATCAGATCTTGAACCTCAATTGTGTCTTGAGCCAAATGGCGATCAATGGAACTTGGGAAGCAACACCAACAAGGACCTCAGAACAGCTACCCAATTTCGGCACGGGGCCTAGAGGGTTTTAACATCCCCCATTTGGGTCGCATTGTTCATCATGCGGTCCAAACACCACAAAACGTTCCACTGGCCACGGCTTCAACTACGAAATCGTGTCGTGCATTCTTTTACTTGCTATCACTACACCGTTCATTCGCTGTGAAACATGCCGGGTTCGATTGTACGAAAAGTGAAACATTCATCCTCCAATCGAAGCACACATCCATATGCAGGTGTATATAATACACAATCGTCGCGTCATTTGACCACCAATGAACAATCCAGCTGCCGCATTTGCGCATCGCGCAGCTGTCATCCATAAATGGGTTGGCCGAAAAAAGTCCACCAGAGGCGCCTGCTCGCAATCGGTCTGCATATTTCCGGCAAAGAAACATCGGTGAGTAATCAATGCAAATCATAGCCATTCCAGATACCATGGACAATGCATAAATAATGAAAAGATATCATCTATAAGGTAATAGTTCCATCCATGAATATCCAGAGCGTCATAGTCGTCGGAATATGTAACCATGTACACATCCATTCAACTTGGATACATGAAATCATATCATAATGTAAAGTCGTTCCATCGCAATGGTGTTGATGAGACGCAAGCAACAGATGGGGACTAACCCACATCGTGCCGCAATCAGCATCTTCACTACGCATACCGGTCCCCAATGGACAGTCTGTGAGTGCGTCGACGGAACTCCTCGTCCAAGTTCTTCTGGGCTTCTCGTGCCCGGACACACTTCTTGTTGTAGTCCTCTGGCAACCAGTGCCCTTTCCGAAGGCACCAATCCAGCAGGGGTGTGTCGCATTTGTTCGGGTCGATGGCCGAGATGATGGCGCTCACGTTGACCGTGTAACCATTCTTGCCAAGGTTTAGGCCATCCCTCACGAATGATATATACTTACAGTTGAAAGCTAGTGCAAAACATCTGAAAATAATATCACCCACCGGGTGCACTCGGTCCTTGACCAGGAGCTTCATTTCTTCCTTGGTGACATCGAGGATTCTCGCTGCAATCCACAGCTTGTAGAATGTGTAAAGTCCCTCGCATTTGCACACCATCATACGAATATATTCGTCACGCTCCTCAACCGATCGGAAGGCTCTTGTCCGAACATTCTCCGATTGAGAAATCTTCGTTATTGTTGATGGCAAAAGTATACCTTCCTGATCATGCTCGGTCATGTTGGGGTATCTCTTGAAGTCATTGTGGTAAGGGCAGCCCGGCCTCCCTTCGAGTCCGGCATTCATCGTTCTCTCCTCACCACCTTCAAACATCCCCCACATCTTGGACAGCTGGAGTGCGATAAATCCTGCCATGTACTGAGCCTCACGCGGCTCGTCAAGGCAGATCGCCATCCGTTGGGAACTTATAATGTCCCGTGACGCCAGATCGGTGTCGCGGTAATGCCAACCGCTGTCTTCTTCTTCTGACGCATAGCCGGATGTATATCCTTGCGTGTCCATGTCGTCATCTTCTCCCGGAACTTCCTCCGCTTCGTCTTCATCCTCCTGTGCTGCCGCATCGTGGTTAGCTTCTTCCTGTGCACGCCTGGCATCTCCAGAGACGTTGGGGTTTTGGTTGTCCTCCTCGTCATCGGATTTGATGTGAATGTAGTATCTTCCGATGGAGATCAGTTGTGCCTCGCACTCCAGGCATAAGCAGAAGCAGGTGGGGATCGCGGTCGCGCATGATGGACATATCCGGCACCTCAGTCCTTCCCATGTCTCATCATTCAGGATGACGACTTTGCTGATTTCGTCCCGGACCTCGTTGACCTGTGCGTTGAACTCCTCCATCTTGTTGATTCGATAGAGTTCGCAGGCACGATTAACCATGTCAACGATGTAGTGCAGATTATCGGCACCTGTCTCAGTCTCCGGCATCCTCTCGCTGATCTTTGCGACGTTCTGGAGGAACATCGCAGCCGACTCTTGGGAAGAGTTGACAAAGCCAGGGCAGATCTCGTTCTCCACACACTTCGAGTACGCCCTCTTGATGTCAGCGTACTCCAGGCGCTTCCCTCCGTTGCTTTTGCCAATCCAAATGGACTTGACCTCATAGAACGGGATCACGTCAAAGACCATGAAAGTCCCATTAGCCGCGACTCCAGCCCCATACCGCGCGAGGGTTGCACTGGGAATGTAGATGATCGCAATCGGATCCCCTCTCCTCACGTTCCGTAGCGTTGTCTTCGTCGCCACGTTCATCTCATCCCATGGAGCAAATGCCCCGAAGTGCAGTGCTAGCCTGTTGCCGCCATCGATTCCGCCGGGGACTAACCCACAGCGTACGATGCTTGGCAGGTTTTCCACATACGTCACATGGAATGCTCCTCCGAGAGAATCACCCATTCTTGCGGAATACCTATTCGCCAGTGCGGATGAGCTCATGAATCCAAAATCACTGTGACCGGTTGTGACTCGGATGCAC